TGGATGGGGGGAGGGGGGTTGTTACTTTGTGAGGGTGAAAAGGGTAACTATTGCATTGTTCTGTACACCTGAAACTAACAATAAAAAAAAAAATTGTAATCATATGGTGCTCATTTGGCAGCACATACACTAAAATTGGAACAATACAGAAAAGATTAGCGTGGCCCCTGGGCAAGGATGACATGCAAATTTGTGAAGCTTTCTATATTAAAAAAAAAAAAAAGTTTAATCATGTGAGGAAAGTATTAACACTACAAATTTAACAAAAAGACATATTTGTGGTTAAACTTTTACAATGATCATAATTTAAGGCCTATTATAGAAATACAGAGTTGTTAGATTTTAGGGGGGAAGTTTAAGTTTTAAAGTTTTACATATCAAACTTAATTTTTAAAAATATTTTATTGGTTCTTTCTAATAAAAGGAGGTAAGTAGATACATCCACAGTGAGGACTCAACTGTCAGCCCCCTTATTAGCTATGTTGCCACTCACTGTGCCTCCCTTGCTGGGGACAAATCACCACAGTTTTCACCTCCGTATAGTGGAGATAATGAGAGGATAGTTCCTACTTTCTAGATTTTTGCTGGTTTGTTCGTTTGTTTGTTTTTTTGTTTTGTAAGGAAGTAATCAGTTGACACTTGTAAAGTTTTTTAACAATCCATGGTGCAGAATAGTCTGTCAGTAACAAATATTGTTTTCATACATATCAAAAGAGTTATTTATCATAAAAGAAAAATTCAAGTAAAATCAGTAGGATTGTCCATTAAATATTTTATATATGTTTAACTTTGACATCCCAGAAGATAACAGAAATTAAAAAGACTTAATAGTATCTGAAAAATAAGAAACAGCTAAATTATTATCCATGGTGTCAAAAAATATTAAATGTAGTCTTTAGTCACCTTTTTTATATACTGGACACAGTGTAAAAAATCCATAAACAAGCACTGACTTATTTAGTTGCACATAGCCTAAGAAGAATGTATAGCCAAATGTTAACGCAACTGATTTTCCTGCAAAGTGCATGTAGATATATTTGTTTTTGAACATCTCAATAATGTCTAAAATATTTTTAAAGTGAACCTGAGCAGCTAATTTTGTAAAGGAAGGGAACGTTTTGCAATGACCAAATATCATTAAAAAAATAAAATATATAGTATTTATTTATCTTTGGACTACATGTGGGAAGAGTTAGATATATCAATTCAATAGAGCTGGATACATAGGAATTATGAAACATTATGCAACTGTTTAACTTCTGTGGGGGTTACAGATCTCTTATAGACATGATAACGACTATAAAGCCCTTTTCTGGAAAGGTATAGCCACAAGTAACCAATATACATTCAAGCACATGCTGTTAAGAAGATAAATAAGCCAGTGCAGCCCACTTATGAAATTCCCATGGGTATCTTGTCAAGCATACCTGCTATAGACATGATTTGCCTCTTTTAAACCATAACTCAGTTGGCCCAATTAGCAGTAATCCTACAAATGGCCATGGACCCCCTCGAGCCTCAGAAAGCTTAGAATGAATAGTTAACTTTCATAAGCTTTGAGCTTTCTGTGACATTAATATTGCCCTCGAGATTTTATTCGCTGGTCTTTGCATTGCTCAGTTGCAAGTATCTTAGGAAAACTGCCAATAATACTTACTCCCTGCTAGCAGAAGAAGCTGCCTTTCTCAGCTGGGTTCCCAAGAATACTGGAAAAAAAAACCAAAAAACAGAAGTGTGTGAGTGTGTGTTTGTGTGTGTGTGTGCGTATGTGTGTTTACATGTGAATATATATTTATATATACATTGCTTATACTGATGTGTGTTTTAATTATACCACTTACTAGCTGTACACATTGAGCTATCACTTTCTAAGTTTCAGACTTCTTAGCTTTTCAAAAAAATTTTTAAAATTACTGGTCAATTGTGAAGTCCAATGCAAATATAAGGTGTTAGTTTCATTTACACTGAAAAACTGAGGGAAAACTTTGTTGTTGTTTTTTTCCTAGTACCACTTTTTCTGTTCTGGTGAAGCAAAATTGAAAAGCATTAACACTACTGTCAAAGTGGATGATGGACAAAAGTATTCATTGCTTATCAGGTGAGATATACTTACTTTCTTTTCCACTTACTCTTGTAAGTAGCAAAGGCTACCCTTCAGGGTATTGTTCTTGTCATTTAAAGGTGGATGCTATCCTGATTAGTATTCACATGCACTTGTATGTGAATTAATGTTTATCAAACCATTCTATATTTTCTATATATCTTAAAAATAGTACTGGGGAAAGAATGTTATAACAGTTATATTATCAACAAATTTATATAAGTAGATTTATAAAAAAGCCATGAAAATCTTATATTACTTTCTACTTAGATGAGTCATAAAAAAATAAACTGGTATTTCTTTTGATAAGCAAAGTAAAATATATTTACTGTAGAATATTCGAACATCCAGAAAAACCATAAAGAAGACAATTAAAATGATCCAATTTACCACAATCAAGATAGAATAATTAACATATATTATTATATTCCCAAAAGCTATGTTTGAAGGTGCCTCTATCCCTAAACCCTCACCAACATCAAGTTTAATTTTGCCAATCTGTTAAGTGAAAATGACATTTCCCTTAATTTGCATACTTTGATTTTTAGTAAGGTTTAAATTTTAATGTATATTTAGTGCATTAACATAAAAATGTATGTTACCTGTTTGCCTCTTCCATCTTTTTTTTTAATTAAGTTTTGTTTTAAAACACATACCACTACCCTTATCCAGTATGTAGACTGAAATAAATTATTTGATTATGACAATAGATGATTATTTAGTAAAAATAATCATCTATTTAAAGGCAATAAAGGGGCTGGCCGAGTGGCTCAGTTGGTTAAGCTCTCGCACAAGAGTGAGAGCTCTGAGCAAAAGCGGTTCAATGCCTGGCCCAAGCTGAGTTGCTGCTAAGCTGCCAACAGGTGGCAGGATGGCTCAGCTAAAAAAAAATTTAAAAATTTAAAAATAAAAAAAATAAAAAATAAAATAAAGGCAATAAAGACAAAAGCAAAGATGCCAAAACAGAGACTGGAAAGAAGTTAAAGGAGAAATTCTCAGAAAGGTTTATCCTCCTTAGGCCAGAAATACCTAAATTCTGTTGTCTAGAATACAGTCTTACAGAAAATTAACCAAAAAACAGTCTGTTATCAACTATATTGAGGAAAGACTACATACATATACCTATCCTGACTATCAAAATGCAGATGAGTATTTTAAAACCTCTGAGATGCTTCTTAATAAAGTCTCGCTTTCTTTGCTTAACTCCACACATGGGCACAGAACTATTTAACATTTTTGTTTAGCATTTTGAACTCTTGAATAATCAATGCTGGGGGCAGTGCACTTTGGGAAATGCCTTCCTGGAGCCAAGGTTATAATTTCCCTGGGCAGAGATCGCCACCATCTGGAGGGAAAGCCGATGTATGAACATTGGAGCAGCAGTAAAAATCATATCATGAAAAACAGATTTTGGCCCCTCCAGGAAACAAAAAGACAAATGAGAGGTGATGGGAGAGATAGAGGGGTGCACCAGATGAAGCTGTTCTGGCTTGGTGCATGTTGAAAAAGGGTTATAAAAATAAATGAGAACACAGCAATCACAGTTTTAGTTTATTAAAAACCAATTATATATCAAGTAGTAATTTTATTGCATATATGAATTTTTGTTTATAAGAACAATTTTAATTATTATTAGCAGTCCCCAGATGCAAAACTGAAGGATGCAGAGAATAAACACAGAAAACAACATAGTTAGGAAATGGCACATTTCCAAAACCTATGAATAAGTTTTTTAAGTCATGGGCCCTATGACACATGCTATAGAAAATATAATTTGATCTCTTATTTTCTCCTACCTAAAAGAACTGCTGTATGTTCAAGATAAGATAAATGTAAGAATTATAAATTACTATCTCGTAAAGAAAAAAACAAACAAACAAAAAAACCCTAACATCAGCAAGAACAATATTAATTAGCACACATTAAGTAACTACCATGTGCCAGGTGTGCTACAAACACATAACTGTATGAAATCATTGTAAAACTCATAATGCCCATTGTATTGGTGTATTCAGGCTGCTGTAACAAACTACCACAAGCTAGGTGGCTTAAAGAACAGAAATTTATTTTCTCACTATTCTGGAGGCTGTAAGTCTAAGATCAAGGTGTTTGCAGAGTTGGTTTCTTCAGAGGCCACTCTCCTTGGCTTGTAGATGGCTATCTTCTCCCTCTTTACATATTATCCCTCTAGGTGTATCTGCCTCCTAATCTCTTCTTGTAAGGACATTAGTTGTGTTGGATTAGAATCCACCTAATATTCTCATTTTAACTTATTATTTCTTTGAAGACCCTGTCTTCAAACACAGTCACACTGTGGGAGGGCAAGATTAAAACCCGGGTCCCCTACCTTCTGACCTGATAATTTTTCTACTATAACATGTGTAATCTGTGTTTTAAAAGTGACGATTTGCTGGTTCAAGTATTCTTAAAAGAAACATTACCCTGTTGCTTTTTATTTTTATCAAAAAGCAGTTGGTAACCTGTCTATATATGGACTAAATTATCCAGTTCAGAAATATTTTTTCACAGGTCCATGTTCTTTCCTCCTCTCTCTCTCTCTCTCTCTCTCTCTCTCTCTCTCTCTCTCTCTCTCTCTCTATTTTGTTTTTGTTGTTTTTTATTTTGAAGTATCAGAAAATTTCTAGAAATATGTTTTTTTATGCTTATCTGTATAAAGAACAAGAGTGAAAGTGGGGCTCCTTTAATTTTAGTTTTCTACACCTTTAAAATATACTTCTGAAAGGAAGAAAGGAAACAAAACTTCAATTTTTAAGTATAACTCAAATCAAGAACGCTATGGCCATAAGTTTTTGACCTAACATACTCTTTAAAGTAAAGGCAAATTGTACGCACACATTTCACTCCCAACTCTACACTCTTTCATCTTGTTTGTATTGAGTGATGACATTCCCTTTGAATATGAATATGGGAGAATCACCCTTCCTCGCGTGCTCTTAGGAAATTGTGAGGGATAAGAGCAGTGGGGTTGTGCTCGGCCCATGATGAAGGGCTCTCTCAGAAAGAGCAAAACAAATATCCTCGATGAAAAAGTAACTGAGTTCATTATTTTTTAGAACAAAGACAAGGTGTTCTGCAAAGTAACATGACCCTTTAAAAAAGAAATGTATGATTGCTTAACCTAACAAAAGCAGGAAGGAAAATATGGAGTGCTTAGAACAGGTGAAATATACAGTGACATAATAAAGATACTAAAAACACACATACTGAAAACTATTTTAGTGAGAAATTAGCTATAGCTGTTGCTCATCTTTTAATGAAAAGGAAAGTGAAAATAGGACCAAGCAGCAATGTTAGGATGCTGAACAACAGCGTTTATTAATAGTATACGAAGAGGAAAAACAAACACTCATAAGTATACATTTGTCACCTCAGTTTTGAACACCATGAGTGTATTTAAGCATGAGATTCTGAGAGAGCTTAAGATAGAGGCACATGTATTCTCTGGCAAACACAAATCCGAGTGTGATGTTGCACTTTATGTCTGTTGGTATATTTGTAATACTAATGTGTGTTTCATAATAATTGCATTATTAATATACCATGTGTAGCTTATGTTATTATCATCATTACAAATTTAAATTATATATTATATTATCATGTAATTATATATAATATATTATAATAAATTTGCATACACACATACACACACACACACACACACGAGGTGTGACAATTAAGTATGCAAACTCATCCTAGAAAAAGTGTTACATACCTCATTGCAACAGTCACCTTCAAAGTACTCTCCTTGGAAAGCTATATATTAACAACAGCACCTAGTCCACCCTTCAAAGCAATTTTGGAACTCTTTTTCTGGAATGGCCATCAGAGCTGTCATCATATTACCCTTAATGTCCTAAATGTCATCAAAATACCATTGGAACTGACACTTCAATGAGAGAACTCATTAGAAGCTAGATCAGGTGAATATGGAGGGTGTTCCAATACAGTTATTTATTTACTGGCTAAAAACTCCCTCACAGACAGTGCCATGTGAGCTGGTGCATTGTCATGATGTAAGAGCCATGAATTGTTGGCGAAAAGTTCATCTAACTTTTTTCACACACGCAGCCTTTTCAGCACTTCCAAATAGTAAACTTGGTTACATGTCTGTCCAGTTGGTAATGAATAATCCCTCTGATATCAATAAAGGTTAGCAACATCGTTACAAGTTTACAAACTTAATTGTCTGATCTTGTATATATATTTTTTATATATATACATACATATATATACACACAAAGACATTATATATGTATTATATATGTATTTCTAATTCTAATTGTCTCTCTTTATATGAGCAGAAAATTAGAACATTGTTACCACAGTAAACATCAAGGTTTTACACTTCTTTTGAAGATATGAATAATAAAGCCAAGAACTTGATGTGTCAACCACAGAAGTAGTGCTTTGGCTCAGAGTACTGCAAAATTAGTGAGGTGGAAAGGAAAGAAATAAACTATTTAACCACTTTCCAAAATACAGAGATTGTTTTCTCTAGTGAAATATGTACATTATTTTATTAATCTTTTCATTGAATACTTTCAGTGGTATCAAGAAAAACATACCAATAGAATAATGATTTTACGTCAACTGAAAGGAAATAGAGAATGAACAATCGATTTTGATTCTAAAATGATATTTATAGGCTCAGCAAAATGTCCCTTTAACTATAAGCCTGCTTTTCTTTTTCCCAATGGTATAAACTCATTCAACACAAAACAGTGAATAAGAGTGAAATTTTGTTATTTAACTTGGGAAAAGAGAATTTTAAAGTGTAATGTACATAGGCCAGTTAATCTAATTAAGAATTAAGGATTTTAAAGTTATAATTTTAAGCTCAATTAATACAAATACTCCAATAAACCAATTACCAATTACCTTTTAGAAACTTTTTTAAAAAAACAAGTTAAAATAATTATAATTTAAAAGTAGGGTATTTCCCATCATTTTACTTGAACATCTGAAAACATCTATTA